TACTCAAGCTATTTACCTTCTTCACCAGAATGGACAAGTGTAGTACTACGGCCAGGTGTTGCGGGCGTATCACCAGGCATTGATTGAGGATCATATCCCGACCACAAAAACACTTCTCTGGAATCCCAAAGTCCCCAAAACCCGACCACTTTAACGTATCCATTTCCGGCTCTTCAGAAGAACTGTCGCTATAGCTCGGCATTGTCTGTGTCGATAAGAAAAGTACTAAACAACACAAATCAAAATAAAGAAAAGTCTACCATAAAAGAAAAGAAAAGTCTACTATAAATGAAAATACCTAAACTATACTACATATTTAAAAAGTCTACCATTCACACGAAAACTAGGGTTTCTGGGTTTAGGCATACAGCCGCCGATAGCCGAGAAACAACCTTTCGACGACGAAATAGATGCATTTTATCACTTTTACTAAAGCAAGACGACTTTTTCATTGAACATTAACCCCAGCAATGATAGAAAACTCCAATAATCTATAACAAAAGTCGTTTAATGCTATGAACACTAAATGTTTACCGCGGTTATGAATGTTCATACCAAATAATGTGTGGAATCGACGAAGCGAAGACGTCACTATTACCGTTTGAACTCGCTTATGTCGCAAGACCAGCAGATTTATATCGAAACTCGCTCTTAAGTTTATGTTTTCTGCTGGGTTTTCACCTGCTTAAATATACTGTACTTTAGTTGGTAGATCTATAAACAGTACAAGTACATATGTTGGATTAATGGTAGACTTAGTCACCTATATGGTAGATTTGTTTGTAAATTGTTAGATTCAATATCAATGTGGTAGACTTAGTTATCGGGCAGTGCGATTTTACCTTTTTGCCCTGTATGTATTGTCTAAAGTACGGAACAAAACCAGAGTCCATCTTCAACCTCTAGGTTTCGCCGTCGAGCTGTTAAACTTGGGATAACTCTTGCCTGTTGATTTTTTCCTCTCTTTTTGCAACGACATCTCCTTCTACTTCGATCTTGTGCCTCTTATCCACTTTTATATTCATGGATCAAGTTGTTTTGGTTTGTGGTAACTGGGTTTTAAAGAAAACGAGGTGGGTCTTCATCGTAGATCAGTCCAGGAGATGTAGTTTTATAGGGATAGACCGCAAAACGTCTTTTGCCAATTTGGTTGAAATCGCATATGAAGATTTCGGGTTGGATCAACATCTTTATGAGCTTCAGTTCAGCTATATGTTGTCGTCTGAAGTCCGCCGGAAATTACCTCTGGATACACCTCTTGTGTTTGTTGGTAATTCAAGACAGCTGCAGAGTTTTTTGCATCAATTCCAGAACGAAAACGAAACGGTTCGTTTATGTGTTGAGATTAAAGAAAAAGTTCAGAAGGGAGTTGTTGATGAAGACGAAGATCGAGATGCATGTCCTAGTCTAGTCCCAGAAGAAGAAATGCAAGATCGGCCGCAACAAGGTGTTGAAGTTGGACAAGACGAAGAAATGCATGAAGAAGAAGAGGATTTGTCAACCAGATTTGATGGATGTGAAGATCCTGATGGTGCAAGTTCCGATGACGAAGAGTACGGTAGACGTGAGAAACGTCCAGATGGTGAAAGTTCAGATGAGGAGGAGTCGCTAAATCTACCACCGAAGAAAAAGGGACCGACTACAATTCCCGACTTTCAAAGTCTAGAGCTTTCATCTTTAGACTTAGCCGTTGGCCAGCGTTATGAAACAAAAGAGGACTTCGAGATGTGACTCAAAATTCTTTCCATTGCTCACAGATTCGACTACAATGTCGATCATTCGAGTAAGAAATTGCTAACTGTTAAGTGTTGGGTAGATGGTTGCAAATGGAGGGTTCGCGCTTCAACTGTTGGGAGCAGCAAATGTTTTTGGGTTAAAACTTATACTCGAGAACACACATGTTCTGTGACTGTGCGATCACAACGCACCCGCCATGCAACCCATGAGGTTCTAGGCCGTCTATATAAGGACTTCGTCGGAGGTGTTGGCCCAAAAGTCTTACCAAATCACGTCGCCGAAGCTCTGACAAAACGATATAGTATAAAGGTATGTGGTAGAGTTATATTATTTCTCTGGTAGAGTTATGATCTCTTTTAGTAGACTTTTATTATTTTTGGTAGAGTTATTAGCTCGATTGGTAGACTTATATTATTTCTTTGGTAGAGTTATTATCTCACTTGGTAGAGTTATTATCTTAATTCGTAGACTTCACTATTCATTTTCAGGTTGACTATTGGAAAGCACATCGGGCCCTAAAGTATGCTCGAGAACTAGTATCAGGGACGTCTGAAAGTGGTTATGAAGATCTGCCTTCATACTTATATATGATTCGGCGAGCAAATCCGGGTACACTAATCAAGCTAGAAGTTGATGAGGAAGATAGATTCAAATTTATGTTCCTCTCATTTGGCGCAAGCATACAGGGGTTTCCCTTCATGAGGAAAGTAGTAGTGGTCGACGGTACGTTTTTACATGGAAAATACAAAGGTACACTACTACTCGCCACCACGCAAGATGGAAACTTCAACATTTTTCCCGTAGCCTTTGCTGTTGTTGATACTGAGAACGATGAGTCTTGGGAATGGTTTTTTACACAACTACACCGTGTTATTCCTGATGATGAAGGACTTGCCATTATTTCTGATAGGCATAAATCCATAGGAAATGCTATAGGGAAGGTTTATCCTCTTGCTAGTCGGGGTATTTGTACATATCATCTCCATAAGAACATTATGTTGAAATTCAGAGGCGCTGAAACATTCAAGCTTGTTAAGAAGGCTGCCACTGCTTATAGACTTCTCGAGTTCAGTGCCCTTTTTGCTCAGATTCAAGAGGCAAATCCTGCACTGCATGCATACTTGGTGAAGGCAGATATTTGTATGTGGAGTCGTGTACACTTCCAAGGTGATAGGTACAATTTCACCACTAGCAACATAGCGGAGTCATTAAACAAGGTGCTATCTGCTGCAAGAGGTAAGCCTATCGTACGACTAGTGGATGATATAAGGAGTCTCCTGACCAGGTGGTTTGCTAAAAGACTTGTCAATGCCAATAACATGGCTACCACTCTAACAACGGGCGTTGAGAAGTTGCTGGAGGTAAACACTACTTTACCTTGTAGACTTTCTATTATTTGGTAGACTTGTATCTGCTATTAGGTAGACTTTCTATTATTTGGTAGACTTGTATCTGCTATTAGGTAGATTTTCTATTATTTGGTAGACTTACCTCTGCTATTAAGTAGACTTTCAAATTTGTTGGGCTTTCTTTTTCCTTTAAGGTAGAATTTCAATTATTTGGTAGTGTTATATCTTCTATGTGGTAGACTTATATAACTTCTAAATAATTCCTTGCTGACAGGCTAGAGTTGAAGATGCTAAACTCTTACCTGTGCAAGAGATTGATCAACATCGTACAGAGGTTTTAGGCACAACATCTGCACATGTTGTCAATTTAACGGAGAAAACATGTACTTGTCGACGGTTTGATTTGGATAAAATTCCTTGCGTACATGCCATAGCCGCCGCCGATAGGAGGAAGTTGTCGCCGATCTCTCTTTGCCATCATTACTACCACACTAGTTACTTGCAACACGCGTATGCTGTTAGTGTAATGCCAAGAGACGTAGCACTCCCTGTGCTAGATGAAGTAGCTACCAAAATTTGTCTCTCGCCTGATGTTCGCAACCGACCCGGCAGGCCAAAGAAAATTCGGATTAAGGGTGCGTTCGAGGCCGCCATGGCGAGTAAACATCCTCGGAAGATCCCCAAATGTGGTAACTGTGGCCAAGGCGGACATAATCGCCTAACATGTCGAGCTTAGTTGACAAATCGAAAACCTTGTGTTTGTACTATTATATACTGCAATAATCCGCTTGAAAACCTTGTTTTATGTACTTGTAAATCTGGAACTTGTTTTATCTAAACTCTACTATTTTACAATAATAAATCTACCAATCATGTTATAAATCTACCAATATTGCAATAACTCTACCAATCATGTCATACATCTACCATTCATGCAATAAATATGCCAATCATGTTATAAATCTATCATTCATGTAAAGCAATAGCAGGTTCCTTTTACAGCAGCATATAGTCGCTTTAAATTCCAAAACACAAGCGACGTCTAAATTCCAAAAGACCACCAAAGAGGCTGGCTATGAGTAATAAATCTACCAAAATACAACATCCGATACCAAAAGTCTACCAATTAGTTTGGATCTGAGTATTAAATCTACCAAAAACGATTTCAGATCCCAAAGGTCTACCAAACCAAGATCTCAGTTAGCGGAGTCTGTCTGTAAACCGTACTTGTCATCAAATAAACTTCGAGGGTTTGGATCAGACATCCGGGATTCTTCTGCTTTATGTACCTCATCAAAAATCTCAGCTGCGTATTTCATACGAATGAGAGGCATGTTGCTATCTTTCAGCTGGTCCCATTTATGGCAAAAAGCCAAACACTCAATGGTCTTCAAAGTAAAGACGCCACAATCACCTGATAACAAGTACCTGAGAATTAGTTAAAAGTCTACCAAATAAAAATACCAAATCTACAGAGCTGCATTGCACCTGTCTGTCTGTTTAGTGCCGCTGTTTTATACATGTAGATATGAAACTGCCCCTCCTTCATACCCTTCTTGAGCTCCGGTGGTGCCATATGTTTCAACAACAGCGGAATCATCCTCGCGTAGGGCTTCACAGACTCCTCCACCTCGCCTTTTCTGTATAAATCTGGAATGCAATCAAACACTCGGATCTAGTTAAAATCA